AGAAGGTAGAGTTGGGTATTGCGAGTGAAAACCATATTGCGATATATTGCAATATTTAACGTTGAATATTGCAATATATTGCGATATATTGTAGATTAATTATCATTATTTAATTTGTGCAGAAAGTTTAAAATGTTGTCAAGTTCAAAGACTATTTGAATTTATCTATAAATTTTAAAGGGGGCGGGGGATAATACATTAATCGCACAAATAATTATAATAACTTTTAATCAAAAACTAGGTAAAAAATTAAAACAAAAATGTACTCATTTGATGTATTTTCAAATAGAAAAAAAGTTTATGCATAGTATATTCTTTATAGTTTTATTGAAATAGCATAAAATGTAACTTAATGATTAAAACAATACATACTATATAGAAATTTTATGTGGTCATAGAATAAAATTAAAGCCAGTTAGACATTGTGATCTATTTTCGTGCGTTTGGTGTTTTAGCTTGACCCGACCTAATTTCACGTTATGACCGATCAGGAATGCCATTGGCCTATTTCTATTGTTTTAATATACATGCTCCTGGTATAGCATGAAGGTGTTTAAAATGGCATGAAACTTGTTAAAGAATAATAAAAAGCAACACTGTATAAAGTGAAGACACGGATGTCCATTTATTTGTAATACGTATCTTGAATTTAACATTCATCGTCGATCGTGTAGATTCCATGAGATTTTGAGAACCACAGTACACATGTTATACACCCTGTAGAAATGTTTTATATGTTTACTTTCATAAGTTAATAATTTTATTTAAAAGATTTTTTATCAATTTTTAATTTTATTTTAAAGTAAGATATTTAAAATTGCGACAGTGAATGAAAAACTCTCTCTCTCTTCTCTTATCTGCTTCTGCAGCTGAATAAAAGTTGGGGAATGAATTATTTCAGCAGTTACTACAATAAAGGAGGTTTTTTTTAATATATTTTTATAAATATCTTGAAATACCGGTATCTGATTTTCATATCGCGATATATTGTCATTCTTTATTATCTGCTAATCTTTTACAGCTGAATAAAAGTTAATGTTCCTTTCCAAGATTCTTTATTACGCAATGCAATTGTACACCTTCTATTTAATTTTTTGATCTGACACTTATTTCGAGTCTCCCAGAGCAAAACATGGAATATGCTTTTATAATCATATGGGATGCGGGGGTATGATTTAGTTAGCTCACTGTTCACAGTACCTCTAGTTTGATTTATTTTTGCGTATTTTATATATGTTAATCTATTAACCTTTGTGTCATAAATTAAAGAGAGTCGTAATCTTTAAACATGTTTTCTACAATTAGTATTCTTCAGGAATATTGTAGTTTATTAGAATTAGTTCATTAGAAGTTTTCATTAACCCGAAAACATGAGGAAGACAAATCTCTCAAATATATTTTAACGACACTTCCCTATATATTAACTATCAAATTGTGTTGTCTGACTGAAATTTATTGTCATCTGCATGGTGCAGTGGTAAGAGCGTCTGTTTTCGGGTCCCGGAAAAGGAGTTTCTCCGTACATCGATGATTCCAATCCCACTGTTGGACGTGCAGACCGGTTTTTTTCAGATGAGACCGTACAAACCGAGGTCCCGAATTGCAGTAGGTGTAGATTAGAAAAAGATCCCTCACCAAAAATTGGTAACTCTCCACTCTCAGGTAGTGGCGTCTCCATATGAGTGAAAAAAAAATCAAGAGAACGTTAAATTACAAACAATATTTTTTAAAATATATATATACATGTAGAATTCTTTTTTGGGTTGGAAGAAAAATTTTTCTTTAAATACATACGGATTATAAAAATAAGTTTTCTTGGGGATTTTTAGACAACAGGCAGCAAATGCAGCTAACATTTACACAAAATGAAGATGTTTGTGGATATATTTCTTTAAATTTTCTTGCGTATATATGTTTTCAAGAATGGATTTCTTGAGTCCCCACTACAGCCCCTAAGGACTTTGGTTTGAAAGCAAAAATTGATATATTCGCTATGTAATTAAAAAGCCTCCGTTTGAAAATGTTATTATTTAACATCCATTCATCGTATTTCTTTATATTCTCAACAAAGAAATAGGTGTAATTATTTATCCGAGCATATTTAATTCAACCTATCATAAAATCTGTTCTAGAAGGTTTTGTTAAATAGACATGGAATTGTTCAACAGGCCATTGAAAATGTTTTTCAAAAAAAATTGTCATGCAAGTTATTGTTTCTGTCGTTAAAACAAAAATAAAAATGGGTTATCTGTATTGCTTTCAAACTTTCAATTTACAAAGGAACTCTATTCACCTATTTCGGAATAAAATTCCAGATATTTTAAAATACACTTGAATTATTGTTTTATATTTGGATATTTACTATGCATGTAAAAAGACATTTATATGTACTAAAACTAGAACCATTTTTTTTTTTCAAAAACGAGATGACTTCAAATGTTTATCGTCAGCTACCTTATTGATGCAGCAGTTAACTCTTATCGACCGCATATGGAGTCTTCAAGCTAATTCGTTAGACAAGAGTAAGCTTTATGCACAACCGATTTCTTAACCAAGGCAGAATACTGACAAACACGTTTAAGAAACAAGGATGAAAATCAATTCTCAACCTTTATTATCGCATTATTGGCCTTGTCATCAAATACAATCTACAATTAAGTCCAATGATGACTGATATTTTTTATACTAATTGTTGGGCCATTTTATTAAAAAGTCAATTGATGCAATCTTGTAGAAATATAAATCAATGATCGCGTCTTGAAATGTCCTCATTCATTTGGCACACTTGGCGTGTAATCGGTTGGAATCGTGTATACGAAACAATATATAATCAGAATTTACAAAGTTACACAAATTCATATTTAGTATAATATAATAACGATTTACACGAATTATTAACACTTGTAAGAAAATGGGTTATAAATAAATAAATTTAATTTCAAAAAAATGAAATACTTTCATAATTTTTTTCAGCAAATACAATTCATCTTCAAGGCGAATGCTGACTGATGTTTTTCAAATTTATTGTTATGCCATTTTTTTTTACACAATGAGATTTTTTTTGGATTTTTTCCCAATCATGACAAGGAGCACAAGGAGGATGTGACCTGTCGGCAGGTGATGCCCTTTCCTACATGGCGCTTGATTTCACTTCTGATGTGTAGAGGTCCGCATTTGCTCTGCTTTCCAATTTTCATTATTAAGGTCTTCCGTTTCCAACGGAAGACCTTCTACTGATTCTGATGATTAAGATTATTCTTATTATTCTTTTTTTTTTCCTTTTCCTAGACGCCAACTTTGAGGCCTCATATCTCACTCATTTCTCAATGGATTTTGCTCAAATTTTCAGACCTTATAGACATTAATAAATTCTATCAGAATGTTGTCTAACATTTAAAGAATTTACTTCCACTTTTGAGTTATTCCCCTTTAAACGAAAATTTATAGGCTTTCATTTCCAGACAAAGGCTCAGAAACCACAAAAGCTGGAGCAGAAATTCTACTGATTTTAGATAACAGAAGGATTGAAGTTGTGCACGCCAGTTTTTGTTTTTCGATTTCTGTATTTAAAATGGCGTTATATAGGGGTCAAAAATTAGAACGCCTAAAAGAGCGAAAATTTACACATTCTTTCCTTTTTATCTTCTAAATCAAAAATATTTTGTAAAAATATATAGAACAAAATTTGTGCAGAACTAAAAGATCTTTCAATTGATATATCGGAAAAAGGGCTGACCCCTATATTACATGTAAGGGATCTAGAGGGGCCGAATGTTTTTCCAGATATCTCAAAAAGTATTGCGAATTTGTTATACATCAAAGAAGCAAAGTTGTTCAAAATCTCTAGCAGAATCTATTGAGATCATCAAGATACGTCCTGTGACGTCACTTCCGGCCAAACCGGAAGTAGTCAGAAAATGCATATTTTTGCGTTCTTGACACGTTTTGGGGAAATATTTGTCATTGGAACAAAAAACTTAATTTTCCGTTCGTCGACGTCACTTCCGGTGGAACAGGAAGTAGCAAAAATGGCTTACTTTTGCAATTTTCAACATAGACTTGGATAATTCAAATCATTAGAGACGTCATTTCTCTATTTTTAAAAATAAAAGTTACTTCCGGTCAAACAGGACGGAAGACCTACTCGTTGCTTTGCAACGAGCTCGGCTCTAGTTCTTAAGACCGTTTGAGCTTGATTACAGTTCGTCATCTCCAATCATGTACATTTCATGTCATTCTCATTGCAACGGACCTAATCATAACCTATTTTGAAAAAAAATATAAAGAAACTGTACATGAACTATTTTAAGACAAAAAAATTGTATTAATTATATTAAATAATGTACATTTTGTATCAAATGACTCATCTTGGCATTTTTCAATATAATTTTTAAGTTAATCAAAACAAGATTTTTTTCCCCTAAATTACATCACAGGAACCCAATACAGAGTTAGAAATATTGATTTAATTTGACAGATAAATGATTAAATTTTTACTTTTCAAGTGCGCCCAGATTTCTACAGAAGGCTAGATCGAAGCTTCCTCGTTCTTGTCAAAATAAAGACATATTGACATGGCAAGATCAATAGTCAGCTAAAAGTGGTTTAACGTATCAACTCTGAGGAAACATTATACACCCGGGCATGATTTGTTTCAACTCTTCACTTTTTAAGGCCTTGCACTTTGCCAGCTACGATTATGAAATTTTGGCGTTTTAGATAAATATACATAGATTAAAATTTATCAGGGAAGAGAATAAACTATAAAAGGTTACAGTAGGTGAGGTATTTTCGGGTAATTAAGTACAGCGGTGAAAGGGGCATATAAAGATGTGATTACAAATTAAGTTTAAATTCACAAGGAAAAATTCTTATGTGCGACACGTTTTCAAAAATCGACATCAGAGTTAAATATAATGACCCGTTATAAATAGCTTTTACCAAAGTGCGTATTTTCTCCACGATATTTCATATAAATTGAACCTCGTTTACTTAAATATCTAAACCGATTTTATCACAGACAAAATACAATGTTTTCACTGTTTCACACTGTCTGCATTATGTTTGCACTGTTTGTTGCAATGGTTTTTTCCCAAGGTAAGACAATTTTTTTCTAATTATATTCTACTTTTAATATTAAAAAATATATACATGTATGTATGTACATGATTTATCACCATGGTTTTGAATAAAATTGGAGTGAAGAAAGGAATGGAACATGATTTGTATAATACATTACTACTTTGAAACTTTAAAAAAGTATTATTCCTTGCTTAAAAAGTTTGTTAAAGATCTTTGTTTGAGTGAAATATTATTTTAAATAGGTGAAAAGGGGGTGGGGCTCAGAAAAAGATATTGTAGTCGACATCAATAAGTTTTCAAAAAGTGCAAGAATTTGTGGGATAGGTATGTAATATTTTTTTCTCTTTTAAAGTTATTTCTTTAAAATGTAAATAAAATTGAAGTTTAAAATTTGCCACTAAAACATATTACCTTTTTAAAGAATAAAAAATCAGCTGTAAGAAGAATTTAAAGATCCCAATAAAAATGTTTCATCCATTTTCCATATTTTGTTAAATTTATTCTAAATATCATTTCTTTTCCTGTACATTGAGGCCAGTAAAGTTATTTTATTCCATTTTAATTCAGATTAATGATTAATTTGATCTTGAATAATTTCTGGCAGCTTTGTTTTCTAATTGTCATTTACAAAAGAAGCGTCAAGAAACAATAGACTAAGTCTAGTTTTATTCTGGTTTCTTTTTCGTTTTCTTTTCATTTAAATTTTGTATTACATATCGAATTTTGTTTTAAAAAAGGAATGACACGGGAAAAAGAAAAGCTAATTTGTAGGTTGAAAATTCAGTTTAAGCCTTTAGTATGGATAATCTTTGACTCTAAACATATCAAGGAAACGGTTGTATGTCATCAATTCATATGACGCTTTTAGAATGAAATGTATGGAGAGATAATGAACAGTATTGAATAGCATTCAAGCTCAAAAGTCCATAGAAATTATCATTTAATTTTTGGTACAATGAACATTCAATAAAAAAAATTGACAATTTTGTTTTGCACTTGCTCGGTGCTTGTTGATTACAAAAAAGAATAAGCATTTTCTATCGATGTTTAAAAACGGCTTTCGATTTCCGGTGAATGGGTGGGGGGGGGGGGGTTACTTTTTGGAATCCAATTCTCTGTTCGTGTAATCGTAAGAACCTTCTCCATGTCCCGCAGTGGGATTCGAACCATTGAAGAAAATATTTACATCTTATTTTAAGGCAAAGGCCCAAACCACGATGGCAAAAGGTTGAACAATGACAATTTTATTCATTAGCAAAATCTTTATTGGCTTTTCGTCCTCCTTTTCCTGTTCCATTTTATTTTAATCATTTGTCGATATTTGATGACGTACAAAAGTATGTAGATTATTTTATTTTAGATTAGACAAGTGTTACAAAAAATAAAATCTTTCTACAAGTAAGAAAATAGAATATAATCGTTATCGAGATACTCTAAATTGTGTTGATGAGTGCTACACAAGTTTAATTTATTTAACATTTGTTTTTGTTGTTGTAGATTTCAATGGCTGGAATAATGGAAATTGGCCACCTAATGGTTTTCCGAATGGATGGAATGGAAATGATCTGCCCCAAAATTGGAATAATCAAAACAACGGATGGTCATTCGGCAGATAGTGTAGAGAATTCAGATTGAGATATATATGCATCAATATTTTTGTAGCAACACCTACATGCATATTTTGGTGCTGATGTGCTTATTCAATTAGAAAGTTTTACTTATCTACGTTTTATAGACAATATATATGCATAATTTCTATGTGATTGTTGTAATGTAAATATTAAAATGAAAAACTTACTGTGATCAAATACAATAATTTAATTAATTGTCCGTCTATCCAGAAGCAAGTTTTCATGTCTTAGAAAATAAAGAACAGAAAGGTTGAAGATAATCGCAATTCCAAAGGAATTTCATTTTTATTTTTAGATAATTATTTACATACTGAATTGTCTAAGGATTTTTCCGTTAGCCATATTATGACCAGGAGCACACAGTGGATGTGACTGATTGACAAGGAATGCTTAATCCTCCATGGAACTTGATCTCATCGCTATATTGTGTTAAGGTGTATTTTCGCCCTATTCTCGATTTGTATTCTTTTAATTAATTTTTAAGATCGCATAATGTGCGTTACTTTATATTTCATTCCTACAACCATCAAACTTTAGGCATTTTGATATTATAGACAACTGCCTCTTCAAGAAATATACACAGGTAACTCCGCCACATATGATTCTTATATGTTTATATGTACACATGATTCTAATATGAAATGGAAATTGCCAGTGCATATGTGTATCATATGTTACGTAATTGCTATAGGTCTCGGTAATATTTAGAACGTAATTGGTCATCAGCAAAATTGATCATTATTTGTTATCCAACCTTGGTGAGTTTTTAATCACAATATACGTGCTCGCTCAGGTATTCACTCAGGCGGAACAGTTAAACAGGTTAAACACATACATGAAATGTCTCAAAACAGCAAGATATTATCAATTCCTTCGAAAAATAAATTGTCTAGGTGTGAAATGCACGTGTACAAACCTATATACTGAGTTTCAATCCAAACAGCACCCTAATACTTGCTGAAAAACGAAAATTACTGCAAGCCACACCTGTTCACATCTGTCCGTAGACTTGACCTTGACTCTACACACAATCACCTGATGCTACTAATTAAGGACGTTGATGTTCCTTATTGCCTGACGTCACGGCGTCAGGCACTAACTAAGGATCAATATTTCCTAGGTGCGAAGCTAAGAGGTCACAGTTAGTAAAATTTTGTGCATGCTGCATGATTATCATCGGATTTTGTTACATGCGTTTCAGCAACATTAGTTAGCAGAAAAATAACCATATTGTTTATACAATGAATTGATGTATTTATTTCCTTTAGCTTTGACAGGTTTGTTTGACCTTTTTTCTTAGTTTCTAAACTACTGGATTAGTCCATTTGTCTTCTAGGTAAGGGGTGACACAATCATTTCGCTCCAAAATGTCACGTGTAAGTTTTTTGCGCCCTTTTCCTGGACCATTCTATTGAATGGAAATAAAAACTGCATGAATTGTAAAGTACGCCCTTTTTGTCGGAGTCCTGGTCGAGCTTTGGAAAAAAAACATATCGGTGATATTGTGAAGTGAGTTAGAAGTTACATCATTTAAAGTAATAAAAACGAAACGACAAAAGCCTCTTAAGCCTCAGGATGTACTGTCCAAATATACATCTGATCACCCCCCCCCCCCTCCAGGGTGTTTCCTCCACAGAGTAGAGACTAATGCCCTGTTCACACGGAGAGTTTAATTCGAATTAAACGTAAGTTTACTGTACAAATATTTGTGCTTAGCGTTCACACGGAGAATTTAATGCGAATTATGCCCTGTTCACACGGAGAGTTTAATTCGAATTAAATTTATAAAGTTACTGCAATTAGCTTCGCTTAGCGTTCACACGGAGAATTTAATGCGAATTATTTTAATTGGAATTAGTTTACTGCGCATTAAATTACTTCGCATTAGCTGTGTGAACTCTAAGCCTATGCTAATTGAATTAAATTCTGATGAATGCGTAATGGCAAAATTTAGTCAAATGCCACTTGTCGGTGGTTAGCTATAGGTACTTGTGCTATTTTTGAGTGAAAAACTAAGGAAATTTTGTTAATCATCAAAATGTGCATACAGACACTTTGCCATATTATGTCAAATGGATCTGCTTCTGCATAAGGTGACATGATTTGCAAATGACGCCATAATAGCCGTGCTGACGCCGGGCTGCAGAAAAAAATTTTAATTCGCATTAGTTTATTGAATTAGCTGTCGTGTGAACGCAATTTATGCCCTGTTCACACGACGAGTTTAATTCGCAGTAAATTAATGCGAATTAAACTAATGCGAATCAAACTAATGCGAATTAAATTGCGTTCAAACGACAGCTAATGCGAAGTAAAAAAATGCGAATTAAAATTTTACTTATGCAGCCCGGCGTAAAAGCACGGCTATTATGACGTCATTTGCAAATCACGTCACCTTCTGCAGAAGCAGATCCATTTGACATAATGTCACAGTGTCTGTACACACATTTTAATGATTAACAAAATTTTCCTTAGTTTTTCACTCAAAAATAGCACAGGTACCTATAGCTGACCATCAAAAGGTGGTATTTGATTAAATTTTGACATTACGCATGCGTCAGAATTTAATTCGGATAAAATTTGAAATGAAGTTAGCGTTCACACAAGCTAATCATATCATAATTTATGCGCAGTAAACTAATTCGAAGTAAACTAATTCGCATTAAATTCTCCGTGTGAACGCTAAGCAGCTAATTCGCAGTAACTTTACGTTTAATTTGAATTAAACTCCCCGTGTGAACAGGGCATTAATTCGCATTATCTTAATTCGCATTAGTTTACTTCGCATTAATTTACTGCGAATTAAACTCTCCGTGTGAACAGGGCATTAAGAAAGTGTTCTCTCGCATTTCAGGATTGAGAAAGTTTATTACTTTTTTGCTAGTACAAATATTTGTGATTTGGACCCCTCATCCCTGGGAGTGGGGAAAAACTTCCTGAATCCGCACGTGTCTCCATTCATATATCGCCGTCAAGTTTGTTGGGTCATTTAAGCATATAGGGCTTTAATTATTTATCCCACGTTTCCAACAATTCTTATATTTTCTGGCATATCCAAGAAACTAGTAAACATATCCTGCATGTCAGTTATAACCGTTACGATTCCCAATTTCTCGTAGTTATCATATTTTCAGCTGTCTTCCTCAAAGCCTATGCTGTATGCAGTTGAATCTAATTTATGTAATCTTTACATGTATCCATGCTTTCCAGCAATAATCAATTACATTAGTATCAACTTTTCCCTTATTTACTTCATCCTCTAAAACCATTTTTAGACTCGCGGAGTGAGGTGTTCATCTTTACGTCGCGGGTTCGAATCTACAGCGGGACATGTACATGATTTCATTTTTTATTTGGGATACAAACAATATATACGTTTTATATAAAATGTGTTTTTTTTCCATTGCTCTGATGAGTATCATACAACTTTAAATGAATGCATGTTTTGTGCAACATCTTCATAATTTACTCTTGTGAAGGTATATATTTACGCATTTTTCCCCCCCAATGTAAACGTTTATACCTTATCATGTTTATTAGGGATGTGCGATTTTATCGATATACCGGTATATCGCGATTTTGTGTTGCGTGATACGTATCGTGATACAGAGACATAAATACCGGTCTCTACGTACATATTGTAAAGTCCAGAAATTATTCATTTATTTGTTCTATCTTTCAAATTACAATTATAGAAATTATAAAAAATGTTTTAAAAAGTGAAAAGAACGGTATCTTACATAATTGATTTTATATACATAACAATTTGTAGAAAGTAAAATTTTGTTTTTCCAACATATTTTTTAGAAAAATAATGACTTTTCATATAAAATCATTGTAAAAACTGCTTTTAAAAATATCATGATATTATCGTGATAATGTGGGAAAAAAACGTGATATATCGCGATACGAATTTTTTTGGCGATACCCATCCCTAATGTTTATATTAGGTTCTATAGATACTAGTATTGATGGCATTAGTCAGGGAAGCTTTTAAAAAGCTGTTACTTGTTGACAGCATAGTCTTTATAATTCACGTACTGATGGAATTCCAATGGGTCTTTATTGTACTAGTTTATTAATTGATTTATTTGCTACTCTTATGGAGCAGAAATAATTCAAAATTTCTGATTAAAGAGGAATGAAAACACGTGTGTCCTTCAACTCCAAATTCAGATCTATCGACGACGTTTTATCCATTACCAATAGCCATGTTCATCCGGGTGTCTACTTATATACCTCAGTGAACTTCCCTTACCGAAAATATTGCCTTCCTGCAAATATTTGCTGCAAGTCTGCAGCAAACATTGCTGCAAGCTTGCAGCAGACATTGCTGCAAGCTTGCGGCAATCCTTGTTACATTAAACATTTTCTTAAGAAATCATCAACTTTGACCTTTGTAGCCAAAGTAAGCATGTATTTCATGTGACAATCTATACAAATCCTTGGTGTTTGCAGCAAATTAGCGGCACGTCTTCAGCAAGCTTGCTGCAAACATTTTACCATGCAAATGAGGTTTGCTGCAAGTCTGCAGCAAACATTGGATTTTCCAAATAAGGAAATCTTGCTGCAAGCTTGCGGCAAACATTGCTGCAAGCCTGCCGCAAACATTTATGCAAGCTTGCGGCAAACATTGCTGCAAGCCTGCCGCAAACATTACTGCAAGCGTGCGGCAAACATTGCTGCTAACTTGCAGCAAACAATTTCCTTATGGTTTTGGCACATTCCTGTGTACAAGCAGCAAGTTCACAGAAAGCCTTTGTCCTGACCTAAATCTGTTAAGTTTAGAGAAAATCCACCACATGTTTCTGAAATGATGCAGTTTTATGAAGTTATGATGGCCCTCTTTACGTTCCTAGACAAAGTTTTCATACCTTTGCCCCCTAAAAATTTTAGCTTCAATCTACAGGGGGTCATTTTTCTACGGGGGTCATTTTTCTTCACGTTAAATAATGACCGGGGGTCATTTTTCGCTGTCGATGGGGGTCATTATTCGTCTTTACACCGGCTTAATGTGAAGGCAAAGTGCAATTAAGATAGCTTTTTATATGAACAGAACTTTATATATAATTTTTAATGAATATTTCCGTGATTACACATTTACTAATTAATTTGATAACATTTAACTGATTTGGGTCCATTAATACTTTTAAGAAATATACATTTGTGATTAATCAAAAAGAAGACTGAAATTCATAAGAAACAGATTTAGATTTGACCTAGCATTTACACCAGTTACTCAAACGTGCTTTTAAGAAATATTCTTTCAAATATCAAAATAAATCAAAATCATTTCTTACCAATTAGATATCATGGATAGAATGAACACCTACATCCAGAGTTTGACACTTTTAATCATTTAAAACGATGTATATTCGTAACAAAATACTGAAACGTGTACAACTTCAATTCCAACATTTCAAAATGGCCAGTTTTGTGTTGACCCAGTACAATCTGCGTTTCATTGGCTGATTTGACTTGTTTACTGTTCTTGCGAACTTCCTGCAAACATTTGAATAATGAAATGTTTCCTGCGAACTTGCTGCGAACATTAAATTGGCGTGTATGTTTCTTGCAATGTTCCTGCAAACATGTTGGGTTCCTGCGAACTTGCTGCAAGCTTGCAGCAATTGCTGCTATGTTTGCTGCAAGATCGCAGCTAGCGGCAATCATCTGCGAACAAGAAAATTTTCTTCCTGCGAACAATTTTGTTTGCTGCAAGCTTGCAGCAGACTTGCTGCAGGCCTGCAGCAAACATATCAGTTTGGTAAGGGTTGACATAATAGACAACAAAGAGTGTAGCACATTTGCTTCCTATTCGGATGTCTTACTTACTATTGCCCATTTAGGTTAACACACTACTAAATTGTATGTCAAACGATTTAACTCCAATTTGTCCATCCTCAACACTAACAATTTTTGTAGTTTTATTATTCTTTCGATTGCTTCTGATGTTTATGTTTCCCAGCTTATGTGATACACAGAAAATGATCCAAGCACGGATAAATTTAAGGCACAGACTACTCACAAGCACGTTAACGTTAATGTTAAAGGAATTTTAACATCCTTCTGATGTATACATTCCGTAAATTTCATGGTATTCATAACATCAGCAAATACAACCTATTATCGTGTTTTGACTAACACCATTTAGGTCTTTGTTTTCACAGTGCGGGAAACTAATTTTTATAACATAATCACCATCAGTAAATATGCATAACCATCAAGGTTGCATCACGATCAGCATAAGCAAAAAATGATATAACTGGTATTGTAAGCATACTAGTATATCTACTCAAAGCAGCATTGACCTACTGGTTTTAGAATATCTACATGTATGTGGTAATTTTTTTTATTAAAAGAAATAGAGAAAAAGAACACATTCAAGGAAAAAGCTAGAGAGAGAGAATCGTTACAAATGCCTTTGACTGTTAAAACACAGTTATAAGACAAAACAGTGAATAATTTGTTATGTTTATTTCATTTCAAAAAGTCATTTAGAGAGCACAGTTTTAATTCAGGTTTGCTTTCAGAAGTTAAGTTTAAAATAATTGAAATTAGACATTCAAATGATCTTTGAAAAAGACATTTTCATTTCCACTTTACCGATTTTTAAAATAAAATTTTCAATGCTCTTGTGAAAAATAATGTACTAGGCATTTTTCATAATTTAGATGTGCTCAATTTCTATCATTACTTTGCTTGCTAAGAAAATTTTACTTCGACTTTAAGTTTATATGATTTCAGTATTCCAGATTTCAAATAATAATAAAACAAAATTTCTGTTCCTTTATTGTGATTATATCTTAGAGTAAATAAAACTAGCTTCCAATCACACTGGGTATCCTGTGTTGTTTCCTCCTTTATAACCGTTTCAATAATTTATTTTTTTTTTACTGTTGTTTGATATTGTTGTTTACAGATGTAGTTGTTAATCGTTAAACTAGTCATTGAAACCCCATGGGCCATCGTTGTTGAAACCCCATGGGCCATCGTTGTTGAATCCCCAGGGACCATCGTTGTTGAAACCCCAGGGGCCATCGTTGTTGAAGGGACCGTCATTGTTGTTGAAGTGATAAAATGGGAAACTGGGCCTGCTCGGGTAATGAAAGGATGGTGACCCAAAGAAATCTACAGAGTAAAAATTATATATATATATGATGTTCAATATGTATTCAAGAAACTCTATCTAGTCAAGTAAAAATACATGTCGGAAATAACTCTAAATCATTATGTTAAGTTTTTTTTATCTTTTAATCTATTTTCTATCTATAGACTTACATGGTTCAGTGTTTATAATTATGCATATTTTTTCATAAAATGAAATCATGAGAAAATATTTGATTTTTTAAATAGCATGAATATACTTATTAATTTTCTTTTAAAACTATATGTAACAAAAATAAGAGATAAACATTTTTTTTTCAAATTTCGTCAAATGGCAGGTTACCCATTAAAATTATTTATGTAAATTGTCAGAAATTTATCCATAAATTGAATTTTAAAGTAAATCTGATATCTATTGGATAAATACACTCAAGGAAATAGCATTTCATACTTACAGCGAGACAGGACAACGGTGAAGCACAGAGCAAGGATCAACAACAGACGCAGCATAATGAGAACTTCTCGATGAGACTTCACACAGCAGCTGGTGTGATAGAATGTAAGTAACGCCCTGCTCCAATATGCCTAGTATTTATAGACAAAATTTCCTAATTATGCATTCTGCATTTCCTCTAATTTGTCGCAATGGCCATTTTTAATCATCAATTATTGATGAAGCAACTCTTTCTATGGTTTAAAATTCAAACAATTAATACGTGACCTGTTTATTTGATTTCATGCTAATCATTAAATGCGAGTTTAAAAGAAACAAGAGGCCCAGGGGCCACAACGCTCACCTGAGCACATCGGCTAGGAAAAAGCACATATGAGATCAGAACTGAAAGTTTATTGAGGGGGGGGGGGCTTGAATTTTAACCCCCCAGGGGATCATGATTTGAAGGAACTAGAATCTACACTACCTGAGGATGATTCCATATAAATATTACTATAATCATGGCTTTGAAGTACTTGAAAAGAAGATTTTAAAAAGTTTCCCTTTATATTCCAATGTGAAACTTTGGTCGGCCATTTTGGCCCCACCCAAGCCCCGGGGGTCATAATTTGAACAAACTTAAATCTACACTACCTGAGGATAATTTCACATGAGTTTCATCTTTTCTGTCTCAATGGTTCTTGAGAAGAAGATTTTTAAAGATTTTTCCTATATATTCCTATGTAAAACTTTGATTGGCCATTTTGGCCCCACCCTACCCCCGGGGGTCATGATTTGAATAAACTTGAATCTACACTACCTGAGGATGATTCCACATGAGTTTCATCTTTCCTGGCCCAGTGGTTCTTGAGAAGAAGATTTTTTAAAGATTTTCCCCATATACTCCTATGTAAAATTTTGATCGGCCATTTTGGCCCCATCCTACTCCCGGGGGTCATGATTTGAACAAATTTGAATCTACACTACCTGAGGATGATTCCACATGAGTTTCATCTTTCCTGGCCCAGTGGTTCTTAAGAAGAAGATTTTTTTTTAAAAATGCCATTAATTTTTCTCTAATTCATAATTATCTCCCCTTGGAAAGGGCGTGGCCCTTCATTTGAACAAACTTGAATCCCCTTTATCCAAGTTTACGACTTTGTAGCAAGTTTGGTTGAAATTGGCCCAGTGGTTCTTGAGAAGAAGATGAAAATGTGAAAAGTTTACAACAACGACATTGACGACGACGACAACGACGACGACGACAGACAACGGACAAATTTTGATCAGAAAAGCTCACTTGAGCCTTTGGCTCAGGTGAGCTGAAAATCTTTAAAAAGCAGCTGAGATGATATACTGCGACTGACACAATGTTTTCTGTCAGTGAAGTTGCAGAATAATTTAGTAGGCATAATGAAGAAAATTCGTACAAACGCTTTATAAAGTTCATGTTTAAACCATATAAGGTTTAGATAATCAAGGGTATTCAGTGTTGTCATTGTTTGTTTCTAAATATTACTCTTCTTTGTCACACATTTGTTTCAACAATAAATCAAATACGAGTAAATGTTTTGACAGTTTTTGGAATGCGCTAATGAAGTGTGTAAAGACGAATAATGACTCCCATCGAATGATGACCGGGGAGTCATTTTTCAACGACAAAAAATGACCCCCCATCCGTAGAAAAAAAAAATCATTTTTTGAAGAAAAAGAGTCCTAGGGTCATCATTTTATATGTTAGTCCTATTAAAAATTGACCCCCATCGAGAAATGACCCTTTTAAAGTGATACAAAAATTATAATATTTGACATCTTTTTTACAGCGAAACTAATTTTTACATTTTCTGTAACCAGAAAAATACAAAAAGTCGTATGAAATAATTAATAGATTCACGTAGTCTTTCAATGATAAAATTGTGTTTGAAAAGAGATTCTTTAATTGTTAAGTAAATAAAATTTCTTTTTAATATTCCTCCTTATAATGTTTGCTTAAAGAATGATATTCCACTTGTTTTTTAGAAATCAAACCATGCAACAATTAAGAAATAAATAACAAGTTTATAAACTTCAATGGGAATTGAAGGTGTGTTCCCCGAATGGCTACTCGGAAAAAACAACAAGTAATTATCACACTCAATTAAAGGCCGAGATTTTTAACCGTACGGTTTTCTCAGGTAAGGGGAGGGACTAAATTTTACATGCGTGGCACCCCGAGGCACTGACGGTCGTGCAGACCGTGGGAAGCGCTAATCCCTATACACAAACAGTATACACAGGAAGTCCATGAGTATTACCTGTACAGCTTGTTGGCCCTATGTTCATCATTAATTAAATTAATAAATCTCGACACCGTAAATGAAAAATATCATAAGTAGTAATTGATGATAATTATAAATTCCATAATTTCAGACTTATATCTAATATCATACAAGCAGAAATCTCACCGGTCGACTTTTGTTAAAAAATCTACGGTATGTACCTTAGTACATTGTATGTCACAGCAGCAATGACTTGAGTTCGTTGTTAAAAAAAAAAATAATGAAACACAGGTAAAAATTCAAAAGTAAAATACTCATCCTTGCCTGTCCCTTTCAAAATCTTAAAAACTTTTCATATTTAGCAATTAAAGCTTCGATCACGTCAAATAGTAACAGTTACTTCCCGTTTGTATAAAAAGTCGCGTGGTCCTATTTTTAGCAAATGTACATTCTGTATCTTATTGTGAAAAATTCTCGATAATGATGGTTTTGTAAAGTTAGAATTACATACAAATATGTATGTATTTTGAGTAAATTCAGATAATAATTAAACAATTGAAAACAACAAATTAATTTAATACTTGCGTATTTCTTTCAAAACTATTTTTAACACCTGTGACCTTGAACGGAGGTAACAACCCACGTAGCAAGAAATGCTCGGTTATAAAAAAGGAAGAGAAAAGAAAGAAATTCTTAATACATTTAATACTTGTCCAGGCGAAGTTGTTACTAATCAGACATTTTGTTTTCAACATTACTATCCAATACATGCAAAACATGTTACCAGCTTATTTTCTCCTTTATGCTCCGTAATGTTTTCGCCGCGTCTCAGAACAAGAATCTTTTTACGACTGAAAACAGTCGCCTATACATTTTTCATTAGAAAAAATATACACAATCTTGATTTGCTGTATTGAAACACTATTATAAGATCATTTTCATTTTATGATGAAATGTTTGTAATAAAGATAATCATACTCAATTATAATCAAGTTCAAATTGTTTGTATCGAAATGGCTTCCTCATTACGATAGTGATTTAGCGGTAAACATCTGAAGACTGAAAGTTAATTTGATGGTGGCCACGCGTGTCAAACAAGGTGAAGAGAGATACACAGGGACTAGTAGCTAAATGTCAATCAATTTCAAGTACCCAATGATGGCCCTTAATTTATTTGATTGACAGGGGGATACAGACCAGGTAAATCCGAGGGTGGTGCTTATTATCTCGGGCTTTAAGGGGCCCTCTAAGGGGTACAGGTAGACTTACCTGTGTTTACCTGGATAGGCAATATTTTATAAATCAGATATATTCATTCAATTTTATTTAAAAGGCAGAGATTTTTTACCGGGTGGTAAATTCCAGGTGAGGGAGGGGTTTATTTTGTACAGGTGTGAATGCCTTGGGGGCTAGCAGTCTACGTGTGGTCATCTTTCACCTAACCACTATACACAGGAAGTGATTTAAAACACAGTGAAATACCCAGATGTCAAACTTTACCTGTGCTGGGGATTTTGAGACAATTTTAATATTAGTAGCAAAAAGGTTTTTTCAATTATATATTGATTTATTTTGACTGTTTGAAAACACCCCTTCCCATTTAAAAAATATTATGATACCATACTATAAATTCAAATATTAAAACAAAGATCGTTTTAGATGTTATTGTATGTGTTATTTTAAAGAAAACATCTTTTGTAACAACCAAATTATACTTAATTCATTAATCCCCAGGACCCCACCTAATAATTAAATGAAAAGAGAGCTGTGTGAACAGTACATTTGACAAAAAAAATATCTGCACTGTTTAGGTCTATCCTAACCTTATTAATAAGGCTTTGTCACCATGAAACATGCTAAAAAAAATTGCTTGTAAATCATCATCTGAATAAAAAAGGAAAATGTAAGTGACCCATGATTAGAAACATTATTTTTTAATTCAATTACTTCACACAGTGCTGCTCTGAACTTTTTCAATAACATTTCCACTTTAGGTTTACCATTTAGCATATCAAAAATAATATCGAAATTTCATTTGAAAAAAAGTGTTGTTTTTTTTTGGATTTAAAAATGCATATTATATATTATTATCCTTTCAAATACTAAAGCTAAATTTATAATTCATATATTATCAATCTAAAAAATTTCACAGTAATACAGTAATTTTGTATACCATGTTCAGGAAACATCAAAGGATCAAAAGTTAATTAGAAGGTGTACAGGGTATACACAGGGACCAGTAAGTAAATGTCAATCAAGTTCCAGCATCCAATGATGGACCTCCTTGCACTTGATTGACAGGGCTACCCAGACCAGGTATTTTTGAAAGGCGATGCTTAAAATCTATGCCTTTAAGAGGTGGTTTTTTTTATTTTCCGAAATATACTGAATATAATATAGATAAATAAATATAAATAGATAAAATTAAGATTTAAGAAAAATAAAATTTTTATTGTATCTTTAATTTTATTTTATCGCGATTCCATACTATTCAATAGTATTGATTGAGAATTTACATATTATTATCCCATTTTCAGCTACATTTTCAAGATCTTTAAAATAAATTAACACAAATGATTTTTTTTCTTAAAATAATAAAGATATTTATGTATGATAAATAAAGTGTTTCTATAAGCAAATTTTATTAATTTTTTGTAATGAAATTAATTCAGAATTTATTTTAATGACCTCATCCTAACACACACACACCCTCTCCCTCTCTCTCTCTCTCTCTCACACACACACACACACACACACACACACACACCCACACACACACACACACACACACACACACACACACACACACACACACACACACACACACACACAAAGTACATTAAATAAAATACAATAAAATTTTTTTTTCTGAGGGTATATATGCAAAAGAAACTATATGAGACACACATTATTTCAACATTTCGAAGAAAATTACAGAAAAACTTCGCGAGAACATATTTTTTAAAAAAAAAATCCCTGTGATATTGAATAAT